CCTTGAAACGCTGCATAAGCACCGTAAATGGTTTTTTTCTTACTTGCGACGTTGGCAGATTATCGCCATTTTACTAAAATTTTGCTTAACACTATCTAAAAATTAATTGTATATTTTCTGATACACTCTGTATCATACAAGATATTTTTAAAATGGGCGCACTTTGTGCGTCAACAGCTTTTATATGAAACTATTTTTCGCAAGTTCAACACCAACGGAAATAATGGACTCTATCGCACTAAAAAACCACCCTGTATGAATCGAGGCTCAAGCGTAGTCATAACAAAAAGTTCCTCAAATTTGAAATTATGTCGAAAATATCAAAGCATTTTGAAAAATCTTGCTTCAATTTAAAAAATTACTCATTTTATATATATTGAGGACACATTTTTAGTTTAAAGCTGACTTACACATCTCAAAGAGAAACACCCAGTATATGAAACGTTTTCTCTGTATTTCTGAAATTGAATAGTTGAACCTAAAGTTTTTATTACAATTTAAAATTGAGATTAAGCTCATGGCCAAGTTTGAATCATTTCTATGAAACGCCCTTATAGCTGCAGTTCGTTTTGAAATTCTTGTCTTCGTTTCGTTCTTAAATTTTCTTTTGTTTATTGGGACTCTTCACCACACTCGACGCCTTGGTATGTATACCTTTATTTCATAAAATATTCTTTTCAGAAATTTACTACGTGAAAGTTGCAATTTAGCAATAGAAACAAAAATTTCTGTTCTTTAGGCCGTCAATAAATGTCTCCCAACCTCCAGTTCGGATTATACAGGAAAATGATGACAAAAATGCTCGTTATCATAGGTTTCGCATAGTAAGACATGAAATATATGTAATTTTTAATGTATTGAGATTTTTGTTTAATTTTGTTGTTAAAAAATGTTTTGTTAGAAATTTCACTGACATTTGTTAACAAAAATGTTAAAGTTTTAAAGTGCAACTAACGGAGTTTGATGTTGTGATATTGAACTGATTCGGTATATTTTAACGTTTTGCTAGCAACGAAGAAATTATGGTCAATCGGTAACTAATTTTCATTTCAGTTTGAGAAATAGATAGTATATAACTTCTTTGCAATTATAGCGTTATTTTCGACCACATGAGTTGCCGGATTTGGTTCTTAATTTTTTTTTACTTGAACTTGTTGAATTATGAAGACTTCATTTTTCCAAAGTTTCAATTCATTTTGCTAATTTAATGTTGACAATCTTCCAATCAGAAAACTATAGAGATGCTTTGGCTACGAATTATTACTCGTTTTGTAATTTACAGCATTCAATATTTAATAGCGAGAAATAAAACAGCGGAAGGAACCCAACAGCGAGAAAAAAGATGAACTTTAATGCTAAGCACCCGACTCTTAATTAAACAAAAACACAATAAATTACGTAATGGTAATTTTATTCAAAAAAAGGTGATTATCTAACCATTTGTTTCCTGTCAAGAGCCTATTGGAATTATTAACTACAATTATTTTACATAATAATTTTTTCACGTTTTAGTTTAACTAATTGCTTTCGGTACCCCAATTATGTTCCATCAGTGTTCCATCGAATACAGTTCAATTGTCATTCAAAGCAGCCTTCGACTTTACCTCAACTAAATTTACTGTGGCTTCAATTAGTAGATTCTTTGAATCTAGACAACTGTGTCCTGATAAAAATTAACTACAAAAAAGTCCGATTTCTAAAGTTAATCTAGAATGAGCCATTCCTTTGTCCCAGTTGGGTTCTTTAGGTAAACAAACGGAAAGTTAGCAAATGGTGCTACTTAATGCACTTAACAGACTATATTAAATTGGATATAATTTTAGCATGCTTCGGAGCGTGTAACAGAAAGCAATTGTAATGTTAAGAACGCACCCATTTTATTAGTTCATCGTGAGCTAATGCCACATAATTTTAAAACTGAGTCAAAGATTCTTTTAGATTATCTGGTATTCGAGCGAGTTTGCACTTGATAACAAGATTCTCTCCAACTACCGAAAAGAAATATATCGCAAAAAGACATTTCGTGGTATGAATAATATGTTGGGTTTTTGTCATTATTTGTTTAAATTTATTTATAAATTACTTTCTCTTTTTATTAACCACGGCCGCATGCATTACGGACCTAAAAGTTTAATTTGCATTTCAAATTTGCAAAATTTGAATATTCGAGCTCGTTCGGAAATGTAGTTATTTGCATTTAATCTATATTTATTGGAATATCTACGACTTTGATCATGAGCATCAAAGTTAGAGTTCATTCTTTTTTTTTCTAATGGGGCTATTTTTACCGTTTTCTATAATATATAATGCTAGTCCCTTTAAAATTCAGAGTAAAGTTTTAAAAAAGTTAATGAAAACTGAGCAATTTTCATTTTTCAAGTGATATTCATTGAAAGCATGTATTTTTACATGCTGTTTAACTAAAAACCTAATATATGAAGGTATTTATTGCCTTGAATATTATTAGGTAATTTATATTCAAATTAATACATATTCAATAAGATTTCATTATTTGTCAAGGCTTTCAATCGGCATAAAAATATATACGTTGCTTATAAAAAACGGTTTTGTTCATCAAAGGTTTTTGCAGATTTACTAAAATAAGTCTGAAGTTTCTGGATATTTACAAGTTCAGTTTTAAACATTAAGCAGAATTATAAATTAATTAAAAGTCGGTTTTTGAAACTGATATTCATGTCCATTACCTCCATATGGATGTTTTTTTTTGGGTACGTACAATGTACAAAATTGAGTAGAATTTATTTATTTTTATAAATATGAACTTAAATTTTTTTCGATTCTTTGCATTTAAGTCTATACTGATCATTCCACAGGGCTTATCTAATGTGCATTTAACATCAGCTCGTAAAAATCGCACCATATAATTAATTCAAGCTCGTGCCTAATAAAAGAATAAATATAATTGCATAATAAAGTTGCCAATTACCGTAAATCATGTTTTTTATGTGTCGTAATTGATGATTATTGGCCAAGCAACGGAAGAACGAGTTTAATACGCAACTTGCATAAATAATTTCTTCATTTCCGCATAGGGCGATTTCAATCTGGGCACTTAATTTATATGTGGATACAATTGAAGAGACACATTATGGTTCGAAAGGAATTTTCGTGAAAGGGAAAGCTGCAACCAACAGTGTGTTATGGGCGACTTTTTATAAGCTAATAGTGGATTTCGTTGTGTTAATTATCATACAACCTTTCTCCGGATGTCAACGCGACACCATTCGGAAGAAAACATTTTTTAACAATAATGCAGAATAAGTATTTCAAGAAATGTATTTTGTAATGTTCATAGCGGCAAAATAGGTATTTGAAGAAATATATCAATTTATGATATATTTCTGGATGTTTTGAGGTTTCCATACCATATGATTTGCTGGAAAAATTCACGGCCTAAAGAATATGCTAACGTTCGGTAAAATGTTTGATTTTTTACTTTAATATAAAGCATATCCTTTCCATGCGAAATGGGCGTCACTAAATGAACACTAAATATGGCATTAATATTGCTCATATAACATGCCCATATGGAAAACAATCCACCATTAGCATACTAAGCATGATTGGTAATTAAACAGGCAACCAACCTCCAGTTCGTTCTCTGTAATATCTGCGAAAGTAATGGAAAGTAAGCATTAAGCTTCATATAATATATATTTATATATTTCCAGAGGGTTTGAGGGTTTCAAAGTGATCGCGGGTAAGTTCAATGTTTTCAGTTAACTTGACTTGTTTAACTTTGTGTTGTTGCACAAAAGTGTTGTTATATTACGTAGATAAAGTTAAGAAGCTTTTCAAAACTTTCTCGGGTAGGTTTCAAGCAGGCCACTGCTTTTAATTATGTCTCTGATGCTGATTGAAAAAAACAACTTATATATGCAAAGAATGTGTGTTTATAACGTTATCTAGATTACGTAATTGGCCTTCGCCTAATTGAACTGGTTTGGATTTGTGCATGATCACATGTCAATAAAACAGGTGGAAGCGGTTGGTATGCGATGCAATAGAGAACAGTGACTAACAAATAAAGCTTTTAATCGAAAAATGTGTTATTTAAGAAATGTCCAGACTATTTTAAGGCGTCGATTGATGACATTTTCAAACTCCTAACATAAGCCGTTGTCGACAAAATTCCAAAAACGTTGCATTTAAAACACGTAAATATGTCAAAATTAAAATGGAAAATATGAGTACAATGTTGCATAGAATCGGCCAAATGCCACAAAAATTTCGTGCTTTCCTTTTTTCTTTAGTGAATACTAAGTGAGCTACAGGAGAGGTTTTTGTCTTGAACCCAACTTAGTTTGGTGAAGAAATGGACTAAATTTTCATATTTTGTCACATTAGTCGCAAGATCTACTTGAGAGAAAGTCTAGTGAACCTTTTGCTAATAAAACTTTTCGAAACGGAAAGGTCTCGAAAGCCTCCTCAAATGCTACCACTTCACTATTTACCAATTAAAATGAAAGCCTGATAAAATGTGCATAGAAGAGGATGGAGAGAAGAGAATTGAGAAGTTCGATATTTCCATTTTTCCACTAATAAAGTTCAAATGTTTCCGTCTGGAAACATCACTTGTTCGAAAGTGGATCTAAATGTGAGATTATGTTTTCTGAAATTTAATAGGAAAACCCCTGTTGAATTTATCCTGGAGCTGATTTTTGGTCAAATTTTCTCGACT